TTCACCCTTTAACGTTCTCATGGTGTTCTCTACTACGTCCTCCTTACAACACATAGGGCGCACCGCGCTATAGGGCGCGCCGCACTTTTTGAAGAAAATCTAAGACTTTTAAGTGCGTCTTATGGTCGTGAAAATACGGTATGTAAAAATTCAGTAATCACTGATTCAGAAGAAACTACATTTCTATATTGCAATGTGACATTTCTGCACTGCTACACACATAGGGTTTTCCTGTGACAGTTAACAAAAATGTTTGGTTCTTTTCTCCAGCAACTGTTTCGTGACCATGTTAAAGCAATCGCGACACAGCTTGGATGGGAGGATGAAGGAACACAGACAGAGAGGTACAACATTAATAGTTCTGTCAAACAGTATTAGCCCCTTCCTCATTGTTTTTCTTTTTTTGCATTTTTTTTACACTTAAATATTTTAGATCGTTAATTAAACTTTAATGTTTAACAATGTAGGTAAATATGCACTGAATACCAGGTAAATACAACATGATGAATGTGAAAAGGCTATACAAACCCACCAGGCCCTGTGTGAAAAAGTAAGCCCCCAAAACCTAATAACCAGTGTTACGACCCTCCCACACTCACGGTCTGCTGTTTGACTGGCATGGGAGGATCGTCAGCTTATGCAGGTCACCTGTGTCTTGCACAGTTTTGGGAAGGTTACTTTTAAAATGTATTCCACTACAGATTACAGAATACATGCCCCAAAATGTATTTTGTAACGTAACTATTGCTGTGTGATTTATTACTATAAATGTAGACCTTAAAATACTTTGCAATGTCCTTGCCAGAAGATTAGAAAAAAATCACTCATTCATAATTAATTCTGACCAGACAGGTTTAATCAAGGGTAGACAGTCAGCAAATAATAAATGTAAACTAATAGATTATTGCTCTATCACCAAATTAGAAACCACAGTTGTCTCCATAGATGTGGAGAAAGCGTTTGATCGAGTAAACTGGGAATTTTTTACTAGCATTTCTAAGCTGGATATATTTTATTCTTCACAGACTCGATTAAAAGACTTTACTGCTCTCCAAATGTCTGTGTTAGGACAAATCATCTTACTTCACTACCTACAGTGGGGCACCAGAGAGAGCTGTCTGCTTCAGCCTCGCTTCTTGTTATTTTTATTGAGGTATTAGCAGCAGCAAACTGAAAATACACACCATAAGACAAGCCTATATGCTGATGATGTGTTGCTTTTCCTCAGGAACTCACAAACCTCGCTTGTACAGACGATCACACTTATAAGTTATCATCCATATCAAACTACTCCATCGCAGAAGTAAATCAACAGGTCTGCAACAGAACTGTAATTTTCAAAACACCACCAGCACTCCACTACAGTCAGGTAACATTAGATATCTAGGTGTACATTTTTCTGCCAAGCTCTCAGACCTGGTAAGGTTGACTCAGATTCCTTTATTAAAAACAGATCTCACACGTTGGACAACTTAACCCATATCACTCATGAGAGGAGCTGCCACCATTAAAATGATGATTCTACCGAAAAGAAACTACTTATTTTCACTGATCCCTAATAAACCTTCTCACACTTGGTTTAGATCAGATGCACAGACGACTGTACGCCACATGGTTGAGAGTGGCCGGCTGGGGTTCGAGTCTGGCCCTTCACTGCATGTTTCCCCCTCTTGCTTTCCTATCAGTCTTAACTGCATCTACACTGAACAAAAATATAAACGCAACACCTTTGTTACTGCTCCCGTTCCCCATGGGATGGACGTAGAGACCTAAAATTCATTCCAGATACACAATATAACCATCCCTCCCAAACAGTG